CCCCAAAACCCCAAAACCCCATTAAGACATAATAGTTGATAAATATAAATTAATTGTTTGTTAAAGATATTTATTAAGTTATTTTGGCATATTAACGGTTTTATTTTTAAAAGTAAATACTCTCTATTTAAAACATTCAAAATTGAAAATAAATTATATAATATAATGTAAATTAAAGGCTATTAGTCATTAATTTGCCGTTAATTTTAGAATAAACTTAATCAAACTTAGAAGATTTAAATGATCTTCAAAATTACAGAAGTATATCCAATAAAAGCTAGAATTCCAAAAAATGCAATATAAAAGTACTTTTTAAAAATACTGAGCTTTTTACTATTCAATTTTATGTAACATATGGTTGGTAATACGTAACCAATTGTGACTGAGCATAAGCCACCAATAATTGATAGAACCCCTGTAATATTTGGATAAATTATAGCTATTACTGAAGTTAGCATTACAAATCCAAAAGACATCAATATACTTTATCCTTTTGTCATTTAATGCTCTTTTGAGTACATCTGATGAATCAAAATTTGCTTAAGAGGAATCATTTTTAAGGGGAATGCTATACAAAGCGCAAAAACACTCATAATTCTGCCAATCATTAAAAGCAAATCAATATGCTGCCCAATTAGAGGTTCTCTGTCAATAACAATTTTGTTTGTCATCTCGTAAGTTGAAAAATATCCTGCTAAGCCTATAATTAAATAGAAAATTGTGTTTATTGTAACACTACGATAAACAATTTTACTAACTCTTTATGGATTTTTTTCACTCATCTCTTCATATATTTGGACAAAATCAATGTGGCATGCAAAAGCAAAAACTGCTAATGAGTAGTTTTAAAAAAAATCCCAATCTAATTTGAAAAAAATAAGTCTCTCAGCGTCATAGTTTTATTTAACATACTAGGGTAACTCAAATAATAGTATAAGCATAATGTAAACTAAGAAGGCAATCGACATGATAGTAATGTATCTGAATCCACTCATTTTTCTTATTGAGCCTGCTGGAAATAAAATTGTTAGCCCAATTATAGCCGTAATTGCAGTCTTTACTTCGGAGCTCTGAATTAAATTTTAGTCAAAGCCTATGTTAATAGCAATAACCTATATCATCTAGCTAATAATAATTAGATAAGACACACTAAATCCAATAGAACTTAAAAATATTAACCATGCAAGAAGTTTGTCTACATTCCTACCTATTACATTTTAAATAAGGTATGTGTAAGTTGGGGCCCCTATTTAATCAGCACAGTTAGCTAGCATTGGAATACTTATTATGGCAGCAATAGAAGCAGTTATTATCATTATTGATCCAAGAACAAATCCACTTTAAGCAATAATATATGGAAGTGATAAAACACCTGAACCGATTGCTGATGCACTTAGTTAAAACATGCTTCCTCGAAGCGATCCTTTTTTTATTGATCCAAAAATTCTATTTTTTAATGATCTATGAGATTTGATTGACCTGTTTGAGATAATACTTTAAGTAGAGTGATAGTTTCTTTTATGATTTAAAGTATCATCTATGAGTGAATTCAATTCATTTTTTGTCTAAAATTGTTCATGATAATACAACTCGTCTGCAATCAAGATTTCCTAATTACTTTCTAAAAACTGAGTTGGTAGATTATTAGTAGAGTTCAAATCCATATCTGTTGGATTAGTTTTACTATCTTCATTTTCATTAAACAAATTGTCATCCTTTCCGCAATTTTTATCGTTGCTATCTTTGTTATACTTTCCATCATGATCATTTTGATTTAATCTTTCTTCCATTTCTTCAAATTTTTTGAGTTTAATTATGAAATAATTGATTCTAATATTTCTTAAATTAAGCTATTCACTAATATTTCAGATATAAGGGGTTTTGGGGTTTTGGGGTTTTGGGG